TCATACTATATCCGTAGCTGATGGATCCCATAAATCAGTTATTGGTTCTGGTAACATTCAAATTCAACCTTCCTTGTTTCTTAAAAATGTTCTTTATGTTCCTCAGCTTTCTACTAATCTTATCTCCACTCAAAAACTTACAACTGATTTGAATTGTTCTATCACATTTTTTCCTTCTCATTGTCTTATTCAGGATCTTACCACGAAGAAGACAATTGGAGTTGCTAATGAACAGGATGGGTTGTATCATCTCCTTCCAGACCATGCTAGCAAAAATCAGTTATTAATGACACGTCATCCTTCTACTGCAGAGTCTATGATTTGGCTCCATCACAAGCGTCTCGGGCATCCACCATTTAGTCTTTTGAAGTCTATGTTCCCCTCTCTGTTTCTCAATAAGTCGGTTGAGACCTTTCATTGTGATGTTTGTGAATTTGCAAAACACCATCGAGTGTCATTTCCTTCTAGCACTATTAAAAGCAGAGAACCTTTTTCTCTTATCCATTCTGATGTTTGGGGCCCTTCTAAAGTGCACAGTGTTTCAGGTGCTAGGTGGTTTGTTTCTTTTATTGACGATTGTACTCGGATAACATGGATATACTTGATGAAAGACAAGTCTGAAGTACCAGAGATATTTATTCGGTTTCATCACATGGTTGAGACTCAGTTTGGTAAGGGTATTAAAAGACTCAGATCTGATAATGGTACTGAGTACGTCAATCAACGCCTGTCACAATTCATTTCAGACAGAGGTATGATTCATGAGCTCACATGTGTTGATACCCCTCAACAAAACGGGGTTGCTGAAAGGAAAAATCGTCACCTTCTTGAAGTTGCTAGAGCACTACTTTTTCAGACATCTGTTCCTAGTTCTTATTGGGGAGAAGCAGTATTAGCTGCAACTTTTTTGATCAACCGTTTACCTTCACGGGTCCTTAACAATATCAGTCCTATTCATTCCATGACTTCCTTCTTTCCTTCTGTTCCCATATTGCAGAGCCTTCCACCAAGAGTGTTTGGATGTGTTGCCTTTGTCCATGTTCATAAACAACATCGGAGTAAGTTGGATCCTAGGGCTCTTAAGTGTGTCTTCCTTGGTTATAACCCTTATAAAAAAGGGTACAAGTGTTATCATCCACCAAGTCGGAAATTTTTTGTTTCTATGGATGTCACCTTTCAAGAATCTGAATCTTATTTCCTGGGTCCTCATCGTCAGGGGGAGAATAGTTCTTCAGAAGACTCGTCCCCTTCCTTCTTTGAGTCTGGATCAATCTTCTCTCTTCCTAGTGTGTCTGCTCCTGGTGTGTCAGAACCTTCAAATACACCTGAGATACAACCCATACTGTCTCACCAGCAACCTCAATCGTCTGAACCACTGGTAAGTCCTGAATCTCCTATTTCTTCTGAATCTCCTGTTTCTGATTCTAATATTATTTCCTCTCATGATTTGTCTATTTCTTCTGATATCTCTAATGACTTACCCATTGCTTCTACTTCTGATGACTTACCTATTGCTCTTAGAAAAGGAAAAAGATCTTGTCACAAGAAAACTTGTTCCTCCTGTCCCTCTTGTACTCAATACCCTATCTCCCACTTTGTTTCCTCTGCTAATCTTTCTGTGCAGCACAAAAGCTTTGTTTCAGCACTAGATTCTATTGCAATCCCAAAATCAGTACATGAAGCCTTGAAAGATAGGAATTGGGCTCAAGCCATGCAAGAGGAGATGAATGCTTTGGAGAAAAATAAAACATGGGAGGTTATTGATAGACCCAACGGAAAGAAAGCAGTAGGGTGCAGATGGGTTTATACCCTGAAATATAATTCTGATGGCACTCTTGAGAGATATAAGGCTCGATTAGTGGCCAAAGGTTACACTCAAACCTATGGCATTGATTATGAAGAAACCTTTGCTCCAGTTGCAAAGATGAATACAGTGAGAATCTTGTTATCCCTTGCTGCCCATTACAATTGGGATATAAATCAATTTGATGTGAAAAATGCTTTCCTCAATGGTGAGTTAGAAGAAGAAGTCTACATGGAAATCCCGCCTGGTTTTGATTCTGTGAAGGGGGAAAATAAAGTTTGTAGATTAAAAAAGGCCTTGTATGGATTGAAGCAGTCACCTCGTGCTTGGTTTGGAAGATTTACTAAGGTTATGATGACCTTAGGATACAGACAGAGCCAAGGAGATCACACTCTTTTCTTCAAGCACTCCCAAAATGGGAAGCTTACTGTGCTCCTTGTATATGTTGATGATATTATTATCACAGGTGATGATTTTGTGGAGAGACAGATTCTGCAAACACGGCTTGCCTCTGAGTTTGAAATCAAAGACCTTGGGAAACTGAGATATTTCCTAGGGATAGAAGTAGCTCATTCAAGCAAAGGAATTTTTATCAGCCAGAGGAAATATGTTCTTGATCTTCTCAAAGAAGCAGGAAAGCTCGGGTGTAAACCCTCTAATACTCCTATTGAGCAGAATCACAAGATGGGCTATGAAGAAGAGTCCTCCAGTTGATAAAGGACAATATCAACGGCTAGTTGGGAAATTGATATATCTGGCCCATACTAGACCAGACCTAGCTTATGCTGTTAGTGTTGTCAGTCAGTTTATGCACGATCCAAAAGAAAAACACATGCAGGCAGTAGAGAGAATTCTTCAGTATCTTAAAGGTACTCCTGGTAAAGGATTGTTATTCCGACGTGATGGCAATCTATCTTTAGAAGTCTACACAGATGCTGATTATGCTGGATCCGTGACTGACCGTCGTTCTACCACTGGTTATTGCATGTTTCTTTGCGGTAACTTGGTGACATGGAGAAGTAAGAAACAAGATGTGGTTGCCAGATCAAGTGCAGAAGCTGAATTTCGAGCTATGGCTCAAGGCATTTGTGAGTTACTGTGGCTGAAAATTGTTCTTGATGATCTCAAAATAAAATGTGAGGGACCTATGAAGCTGCTATGTGATAATAAGTCCGCTATTTGTATAGCTCATAATCCAGTTCAACATGATCGGACTAAACATATTGAGGTTGACCGCCATTTCATCAAAGAGAAACTTGATAGCGGGTTGATTACCACTCCATACATTCCCACTGGGCGTCAATTGGCTGATCTATTAACAAAGGGGCTTCCTTCAGACAGATTTCAAGAACTTACTAGCAAGCTGGGAATGATAAATATTTATTCCTCAGCTTGAGGGGGAGTGTTGTAAATAATATTGATTTAGTTATTATTTAGTTTTTATTTAGTCATTTATTGTTGTATTGGGCCAAGCCCTTTGTTGTATTGGGCCAAGCCCATTAGGTTAAAAGTAGGTCAAATATTCTCTATAAACAAGTTGACTTTGTTATCCTATATTTAGTAATTTTACTCGAAACTCTTTTCCTGATCAAGATCACTACTTGAGCTTGTAACCAAAAAGAAAAAAGAAAAAAAAATCACTACTTGAGCTTTCAAAAATCAAGGTTGCATTCCAATACATGCTTGACATGTTCTCTGTCTGCGTGCAGTCACATAAAGAGAATCACAATGTATATATACAGCTCAGACAGTCAGTCTTAGAATAAATAATTAAAAATAAAAAATAAAATTGTCAATGAACTTCCTTGTACCTCAAATAATAAAAAATTATAATTATAATATATATAAGACAAGATATACTTACCACAAAAAAAAGTTTATCACCTTTATAACTAATCTAATTACCGTTGATTTCCGTCAATTTAACGATTATAATTTATTGAGAATTAATAATTAATTAATAAGTACAACCCAATAATTTTCAATAAAACATAACCGTTAGATTGACGAAAATCAACGGTAATTAAGTTGGTTGTAAGGGTGGTAAACTTTTTTGGTGGTAAGTATATTCTTCCCCATATATATATGACAAAAGTTATATTCAATACATTTTTTCTTACTATCTCTTACTACCAAATCTTAACTGTTGATTTCTGTCAATCTAACGATTATAATTTATTGGAATTTAATAATTAATTAAAAGTGTGACCCAATAAATTATAACCGTTAGATTGACGGAAGTAAACGATTAAGATTTGATAGTAATAAATAGTAAGAAAAAAAAGTAATAAGTATAATCTCCCTAAATAGTAAGAAAAAAAAGTAATAAGTATAATCTCCCTATATATGTATATATACTGAATATGATCAACTTAGATGTAAGAAAAAAAATTATATTCAATGTTAGCTGATGATTTTTATGTATTAGACGACGGTTGTTTATTGGACTATATTTATTAATTAATTAATTATTAATAACAAATAAATTATAATTATTGTACGGAAATTAACATCTAACATTAAGTATAAAATTAAAATTATAATTTATTACTTTTATACCGATATAAGATCATCGAGGCCTATATCATCTCTTTATGAAATGATATAACATTATAAGTTCGTTTGATCCAATGTAACTGACCCCATTTAGTAAGAAAAAACATTTGTTATTGCTGTTAAAAATGATGATGAATGGAATGGCCATGGCGCTAGAACTGGTAGACAACAGCTGAAGTTATCTGTCAGAGTATCTGTAGCATTCAGATTGAGAGCATAATCAAAAACTCATCTTTAATTGGACAAACAATCTAAGGTGGTAAGAGGGGGGAAAAAATGAAAGGTGTGTTTGACTTGTTCAAAGGAACCGTTTTGGTTAGTTTTTGTGTTTGGTAAATGCTAAATAAAGGCAAAACAACATGTCATGTACCAGAATTTCCCAAAGCACAATGCTCCCTCCACATTCTTTGGCTAATTATTGGGAATTGAAGGTAATGTTAGAGTTGTCATCCCTTCCTTTTTTCCTCCAAAGAATGAAGCTGTTAGAGAGAGAGAATCCCTTTTAGGGATCCAAAAACACCCTTTTTGAGTCTTTCTTTACTTCTCAATATTCTAAATTGAAACCTCTTCTCACCTCAACCCAGGAGGTATGGGGAAGATAGAAAAAATACATAGGATCTTATTAGTACCACATTTTCTATCATCCTTGTCATCTTTGATGGCTATCCTCCTGGTCATTCTCTTGGCCTTTTCTTCTCCTATATTTTCAGCAGGCCTACCTTCTTCTTCCTTCATTCCTAAAGATAACTTCCTCATTGATTGTGGTGCTGAGAATGTAGCCACCCTCCCTGATGGAAGACAATTCAAATCAGACCCACAAGCCAAATCTTTCTTGCAAGCCAATGATGAATATAAAGTCTCAGCAGATGGTGTGAATGTTCCTTCCCCCATATACTCAAATGCAAGGATTTTCATTCAGGAAGCTAAGTACTCCTTCCATTTGGTTCAACCTGGCTTTCATTGGGTTAGACTTCATTTCTACCCCATTAAAAACAATGTCTTTGATCTTCAGAAGGCTACTTTCTCTGTCAATACAGATACCTATGTTCTTCTCCATAGCTTCAATGTTAACAATAATGAGAAGCCAATCCTCAAGGAGTACCTCATCAATGTAACTCAACCCCAATTCACCATATCCTTCATTCCCTTGAAGAACTCGGCTGCATTCATCAATGCCATTGAAGTTGTTTCAGCTCCTGATAACCTGATCTTTGACAACGGCGCCGGCCTTTTCCCGGTCGCGGAATTTACCGGCCTTACAGCTTATGCTTTCCAACCTGTCTTCAGGCTCAACAATGGAGGATCTTTGATCACCTCATCAAATGACACCCTGGCAAGAACTTGGGAATCTGATGAGCCTTTCCTCACAAACAAGAACTTGGCAAAGAATGTCTCAGTGGCTACCAGTGCCATTAAGTTTCCCAAGGATACACCAACAATTTCTCCTTTGATTGCACCACAAACGGTGTATGCTTCTGCCACTGAAATGGGTGATGCTGGTGTTAACCAGCCAAATTTCAATGTCTCATGGAAATTTGATGTTGACACTTCTTTTAGTTACCTTGTTAGATTGCATTTCTGTGACATTGTAAGCAAAGGGCTTAATGAACTCTACTTTAACGTCTATGTTAATGGGAAAATGGCAATTCCTAACTTGGATTTATCAGCTATTACTGGTGCATTGTCAACCCCATATTACAAAGACATTGTAGTCAATGCAACATTGATGTCTCAAGGACTAACAGTTCAGGTTGGACCAGCAAAATCTGATGGTGGAGATGCCAATGCCATTTTGAATGGTATAGAGGTCTTGAAGATAAGCAATTCTGTGAATAGTTTGGATGGAGAATTTGGGGTTGATGGAAGAAAAGCTAGCGGTTCTAACCGTGGGACAGTTGCAGCAGTTGGATTTGCCATGATGTTTGGAGCATTTGTTGGTCTTGGTGCTATGGTGATCAAGTGGCACAAGAGGCCTCAAGACTGGCAAAAGAGAAATAGCTTCTCTTCATGGTTACTTCCTTTACATGCTGGTGATACAAGCTTCATGAGCAGCAAGAACTCGATGGGAAAGAGCAACTTCTACTCCTCATCAATGGGTTTAGGCCGGTTTTTCTCCTTTGCAGAATTACAAGAAGCCACCAAAAACTTTGATTCAAAAAACATTATTGGTGTTGGTGGATTTGGTAATGTCTACTTGGGTGTGATTGATGAGGGGACTCAAGTTGCAGTTAAGAGAGGAAATCCACAATCAGAACAAGGTATCACAGAATTCCAAACTGAAATTCAAATGTTGTCCAAGCTTAGACACAGGCATTTGGTGTCCTTGATTGGATACTGCGATGAGAATGAAGAAATGATCCTGGTTTATGAATACATGCCTAATGGACATTTAAGAGACCATCTTTATGGAAAGAACATGCCTTCTCTATCATGGAAGCAAAGGTTAGATATATGTATTGGAGCAGCTCGTGGTCTTCACTATCTTCACACTGGCACAGCACAAGGTATCATTCACCGCGATGTTAAGACCACTAACATCTTGCTTGATGAGAATTTCACAGCCAAGGTTTCTGATTTTGGACTTTCAAAGGATGCACCAATGGGCCAGGGTCATGTTAGCACTGCAGTGAAGGGTAGCTTTGGTTATCTAGACCCTGAGTACTTCAGGAGGCAGCAATTGACAGAAAAATCAGATGTGTACTCTTTTGGGGTGGTTCTTCTAGAGGCATTATGTGCAAGGCCAGCCATTAACCCTCAGTTACCGCGAGAACAAGTTAACTTAGCTGATTGGGCAATGCAATGGAAGAGGAAGGGCTTGCTTGACAAGATCATTGACCCTCTCCTTGTTGGTTCAATTAATCCTGAATCTATGAAGAAGTTTGCTGAGGCTGCTGAGAAGTGTTTGGCTGATCATGGAGTTGATAGGCCTTCAATGGGAGATGTTTTGTGGAACTTGGAGTATGCATTGCAACTTCAAGAAGCTTTCACACAAGGAAAGGTTGAGGATGAGACTAAGTCCTCTGCAGCTGTTCCTACTTCACCTGCTCCCACAACACCTTCCACCACCTCTGATAACCACCCAGTTGCTCCTACAGAAGTAAATGATGGTCCACCACAAGTACCAGCTATTGATGACCATTCTGGAACTGCAGCGTTTGCACAGTTTGGTAATATCAGTGGCAGGTGAAAGCCAAATTTGCATCTATCACTTGGACTGCTACAAATTTGATCATGTCAAGGAGGTGTTATAGTAACTTTCTCACAAGGTTTGTGACCAAAAAATTTCCTGTATAGTTGTGTATGATACTGTGTGCTGTTTCTCTTCTAGGTACTACTCTTGCTCAACTTTCTTTCTGTATTGTGTGTGGAGTATTGTGTTTCTTGGTGGCAAAATTCTGTATCAGATATGTAAAGTACTGGTGTGTATGTATGTATATATGCATTCAGTACCATTAATCATTTTATGGTCTTATATAATTGAATTGTAATATTTTGTTATGTAATTTTTAGATAGTAACTGTAGAAGCAAGTTCGTAGAAACTGGCTACTTGCAGCTAGTGAATTGACTTCAATTTGTATACAATCGACCAACCAGTGTTGTAGCAAAAGACCTTTTTCTTTTTAATAAAAATGGCCTCTCTTTTTTCATTTGGCCATCTGAGAATGCAAGTGTCCAAGTGCCACCTGCAAGAGTAACTACCAAAATTCCACACCAGGGATGGTTCTGAACCAGATTGAACTCATTGAGACATTTAAAATCTAAATTAACATTTTCAATGTTTCTTTATTTTTATGACATGCAAGATTGTTGAGTTATCTAATCATCTTTTTAGAATCCTAATAGAAGCACATTAGTATCCAGATATAAATAAATGAAAACTAAATGCATAATCCTTGGTTTTCCTTGTCCTTGGTTTTCCTTAAAACTTTTTTCTATCAAAATTTGCAAAATAAATAAATAAATAGCACAAAACAACATAACTGCATCTGGTAATAGAAATAAACCCCTCTCTTTTTTCCTACCTTGTAATGATCTAAATAGAGATAATATGTGCCTTCCTTTAGCTCTATCCATATTTAATAGGCTTAACTTCAACAAGATATCTTATCATAACACATTATTTGGATATTGAATTCAATCATGCTTTGCCTTCAACAAATGGTAATCATTGTTGGAGTAATGACCATGAGGCAACTATTCTTTATGCAAATTTACTGTCCTTGTCAAAAATTGAGATGTCATGAAATATAATCTCTCAGAAGAAATGACTTTCTTTTTATGTAGTCTCCCTTCTAAATGAGTAGAACCAACTGTAATGTGTCATCAATCTTCGTTGAAAGTATATTACTTCATATTGGCTATATTCATCATTTTGACAGTGGAGGACCATGCAAATGGTCCATAAACTTATGGTTAAGTTACTCAATAGGTCCATATAGTCATATACTTTTGAAATAGGTCCTATAGCTTATAATTTATAATTGAATCACTAAAGTTTCAAAAACAATTTTTTTTTTGGGGCCCCTGAGGCCACCTATGGTTGGTGTCATAGGTCCAATTAATTTTTTTTTTAATAAAAATCTAGAGATATCTTCATTTAATCTCCTCCGGCCACTGACCTCAAAGACTACCTCCTCATTCATTTGCATTAGCCAAGGATCAAACCCTGAGCAATGCAAATCCCTGGACACTCCAACTTGCCAGTTGAGCTATCCTAGGAGTTAGGTCTAATTATATATATATATATATATATATATATATATATATGGGACAAGATTCGTTTATAAACTTTTTTTGCAATTACACTAACGTAGGACCGGTCGTACACTGTGTGATTAATGTAGGACCGGTTCTACATAGTGTAGTTTGTAAGAGTTTATAAATAAAAAAATTTGTAAATATAACCTGCTCCTATATATATATATATAAGTCTTATTCTTTATTTTAATCATTGATTTTTGTCCATTTAATAATTATAATTTAAAAAATTATACTAATTAATTAATTATTAATTATATTATAAATGACAATTATTAGATAGGGAAAAAGACAAATCAAAAGATCTATTTGCATTTTTTCAAAAGATCTATTTCCATTTTTGTGAGTTACATAATAATTAATAGATGAGGATTGAAGAGATAAAAGAGAGCACAGGTTTACAAAATGTCCCACACGTAAATGGTAGCATCTTGAATGATTGAGAGTAAGTGTAGATAAGGATGGGGTCATCTTCCTGAAGTGATGGGGTGCAGATTTTAAGGTTCAGAACACAACCTATTTTTGTACAACTCAAAATCATGTCATTTTATGCTTAGCTGGTCTTCACAAGCTTTCTCCTAATTAGTTTCTTCAATCAGCATTTAACACGTGTATTCTGTCATTGTCTCCGTCACTCTCTCTCAACACAATTTAAAAAAAAGTTATCTTAAAAAAAAATCATCTGTTTACGAATTTATTTTATAAAATACATTAAATATGATCAATTATCATTTTTAATTAAAATATGATCGATTATAATTTATAAAAAAAATTAAATAAAAAATTTATAAATATAATTTTTTGCTGTCTTCAATACTCCTAGCAAATCACTGCTTGAACTTCTAAAAATTAACTCATTTAACTATACTTTATGCTATCAATCTTTTTATGGTTTATGTTACATAAATCTCTTTTCTTTTTTAAAAAAAAAAATTAGTAAAAGAATACCACCTGTATTCTCAGTTAGGGGTGTCAATATGGGTTTTGACACGCGAGTCAACCCGCGACACGACACGAAAATTCGTGTTCGGGTTGACCCGTAAAAAAATTCGTGTCGTGTTCGTGTTGGAAAAAATGACACGCAAAAAATTCGTGTCGTGTTCGTGTTTATGAATTCGTGTTTGTGTCGACCCGTATTATTTTTAATTTTTTTTTTTAATTTTTTTATTATTATTTTTTATTTTTTATTTATTTTCGATCTATTTTTTTAAATTTTTTTGTCAATTACTGTTTTGTCCCCTATTTTGCGTGTTATTCGTGTCGTGTCGTGTCAACCCGCAAAAAATTCGTGTCGTGTCAGTGTTGAAGATTTTGACACGAATGAAAATTCGTGTCGTGTTCATGTTGATGTATTCGTGTCGTGTCAACCCATATTGATACCTCTATCCTCAGTGTATAAACCCTTCTAAGAGATTTTTATCTTTCTCAAAAGTGTCCAGGCATTACTCTAATAAATCAAGATCATTTTACTTGCTTAACAAGCGTCCATTCTATGGAAAATGTAGAGAATGTAAAAAAGAAAAAGAAAAAAAAAATCCAGTTTCAAGGGAACATATACTCAAAGGAACTGTTCAACTTTCTTCACTATAAAACTTTCCCCAATTGGCCATACCAATGTATTAAAATCTTCCTATGACCAAGTTGTATATATGAAGGCAAATATTTTTTTTTTTAGTACTTCGATAAAGGTGAACTAAAGAGAGAAACACTTCTTCACATGCATGATGATGTTGCTACCCCAGTTCGCCATTCACACGATCCGGCAAAACGGGCTTGGCTCGGCAGATCAACCCGCCCAATTTGTTAAACGGGGCGGGGCGGGCTCATTTTTTGGCGAGTTGATGATGGGCATAGGCGGGCCTAGGCAGGTCAGTATAAAATAGGTTCGGGCTGGCAGGCCAACCCGCCAAACGAGGCGGGGCGGACCGAGTTTTTGAGCCCACTTTCAAAAGCAAAGCGGGGCGGGACGGACTGACTCATTTTTTGACGGGTTGATGGCAGGGCGGGGCGGGCCGCCCACTTTACCACCTCTACATATGTAGGCTCTTTGACCAAAGGGAAAATGGTGGGTCGGGGGTCGGGGTCTTCCACTTTTAATTTCATTGTGAGGGGATTCTAACCATATTGAGTGTTGCGTGCGACACCCGAGACACTCACATAATTTTTTTTATTTTTTAGGTGAGTATTGCGATTCTCTTGGGACATTCATGTGATTATGTTAAGAGGCATAATTTTATTATCTTAAACAGTTTCGTTATCGTAAAATTTTGGAAGGCCATAATTTTTAATTTATGAATTCAGATCAAATGATTTTTTTTATTTCACATAATTTTTCGAGATCTACGCAATGACACCTCATTTGACATATTTTATTTCTCACAAACATAGTTCGAATTTGTAACAATAATACCACAATTACAATGGTGTTTGCCAAATTTTGAGGGGAAGAAATAGAAACCTTGATTTGTTTAGCTTCCTCGATTTCAAAATCAGTTTTGTTGAGATTTTAATTAATTGAATTTTTGTCTCCTAGAGTTGCAGCAGCATTTGTGCGGGACAATGATTATGAATACTTAGCTTCAGAGGCATTAAGCATAGCCATCATATTATCGCCTATCTTTGTTTTGTTCCTTCTTTCCCTAATGCTATGGTTTTTTATTTTTGCTCCCACTTTTTACTTTTTTTTCTTCTTTTTTTCACAAAAACAAATTTTGAAATTAAATATTGTCTAGCACAGGTCTGTTGTAACTCTAACACTAAAAAATTCAATTAATTAAAATCTCAACAAAATTAATTTTGAAATCAAAAAAGCTAAACAAATCAAGGGTTACTAGTTTTCTACCTCTTCCCACCAAAATTTGACAAACACCTTTGTGATTGTAATACTATTGTTACAAATTTAAATTATGTTTGTGAAAGATAAAATATGTTAAATAAAGTGTCATGGCGTAAAACTCAAAAAATTATGTAAAAAAAAATCATCTAATTTAAATACCCTAATCAAACATTATGACCTTGTGAAATTTTACGATAAAAAAACTGCCTACAGTAATGAGATTGTGCCACTTGGCACATCCCAAGTGAGTTCCCCAGAGGATCGCAGCACTAAATGACCCTTATTGGTAAATACTAAAAATGGAATACCAAATTGAAAAATTAAAAAGATAAAGACCCCACTTGATCAAAGAACCGACATACGTATCATACCATTTCATCACCATCCATTTATAGCCTCGGATTTCCTTGTAATCACAATCTCTGCATCAGATATATTTGTATTGAATCTACCATACGTGGATATTGCAATCTTCAGCAATGAAAATTAGTCATGTCTTACTAACAAAAAGCTGGACTTAAAGAATTTCATGACCCTGATGAAAGGCAAATCACATTTCAATGCTATAGTATAGTATACATGATAATAATTGAATAGGATGCCAGTTTGCAAAACTTGTGTTTACTAATCAAGTGTGAGGAAGTTAATTAGTGAGGTCAGTGATCCTCTCTGTCAGGCGTCAGCAAAAAAAAATACACATTGCTGCTACAGAGTAGAACAAAAAGGAGAAAGGTTGAATCTATAATCCGAAGCAAAAGACTAATAGCAGCAGACCTAACAACAACTATGGCCAAAAGAATCAGCAAACCTCCCTATCAAAACAAAATTAGGATGCAAGAATCCATCCACATTTTAGTTCATGCATTAACTATGACAATCTTCTCTTTTTAAAGCCTTCCAAATTCCCATCAAGCACAACAAGATCGTCTTCATCATCAATTACTTGCAATTGCTTGTGATTCCTTGTTTCATCAGCAGCATTTGAAATACCTGAATCATCAGCAAGTTTTCTTTTCTTCCATGAAGAAACTATACCTATCTCATCATCTTTTTCAGATTCTACAGCTGTTATGGATGCATCTGAGGTGCTTGCACCATTACCAACAGACTTGTCCTTATTTTCTGTTGCTGTCACAGGTTGAGTCCATCCTGTGAGAACCATCTGATCAGGTTCTTTCTCTTCATCAAATTCCTCTCTGAATATAGAATCACCAACAAAACATAGTAAATTAGAACCAAAAAGGGACAAAAGGGTTGAAGGGAATATGGGATGAGAACAAAAAACTACATTAATTCAAGATATGAGAGAAAAAAGGAAGAAAAAAAAACACACTATAAACATACAAAGTTCCGTAGTATTTGATACAAAGGAACGATTCAGGCTCAGAATAGAGAGAGTTGAGTTTTACCTGTGCTTGATGTTAATATTGCAAACAAATTCCTGCTGAAGATCCTCTACTGTAAGCATTGTACCACCCGTTACTGGAGAAGGAAGCTCAGCTAGCACCTAAAAAGGCAAGGAAACAGGCTAAATACAACGTATGCCATTTTCAAACCAAAGACAAGAAACATACCTTTTCAAGGTTGGCTTCATAAATTGGAAACATGTCTTCCTCAACATCACCAGCTTCATAAAGGAGGTTTGAAGCATTCATAATAAGAGGAAGGTTCATCCCAAGCTTTGCCTTGACAACCTTTTCAACAAAGTCCTTCAACTTTGAGCGCTGTGTGTTTATTTCAAGCAACAACGGTGTCTGTCTCCCATATAGACAATAAATTGAGCGTGAGCATATTTGTAACAATGACTTTAGGCAACAGATGAGACAAGGAGAGATTAGCCATACCTCAGAACAAACATAACAAGACTTGTTAGGCTCAAATGGCTCCACCGGCATAAGCAGCATGTTTCTTGATGGATGTTCCAGACAATATGTCATTCTGAGATGTCCAAATAAGATTAGAAAAAAAATAAAAAAAAATAAAGGAAAGTTAAGTAATAAAGTTATGACTTGTAAACTACACAGGAACAGTACATTAATGAAGACTTCAATAGAAGAAAAAGGAGCACAAGGAAATATCAGGAAAGATAAGACAAAGCTCCGGAAAGAAACCGTAAAGCAGGAAGCAGTATAGCGGAATAGAATCTAGATATACCACACATACAAAGGCTCAAAAATAAACATTCATTCAAACATTCATAATTAAATATATTATCCCTATTAAGTCCAAAATAAACAGGGATTCTATATACTGTCAATTGAAAGGATCTTAAATATTGTCAATTACAATATTCCATATTCAAATTCCCAAAAGGAACTACTTAGAATGATCCTTTAGTAGCCAGTCCATAACAAATTACAATTCCCTTTATCTCTAGGACTAAAATATCAGGAGCAAAAATCAAATCAATTCTTTAACAAAATATGATTATGAACAAAAACACAGACAAGATATGTGGCAGCATGGTAGTGATGTGATAGTCATAAGCTGTTAATATGTGAGGATACCTGTTAATAATTAACAAAGCAGAATGGGTACATAATAATGGACCAGTAAATGGTCCAGAGAAATACCTCTCCACCAACATTAAAAGAAATGAAAGACGAGATTTAAAAGAAATGAGAGACGAGAGAGAATGCAGGAACGAGAGACAACAGAGAGGAGAGAGTAAGCAGTGATGAGAGCGAGAGACAAGAGAGAGTGGAGCGAGAGATAGTGGATTGAGGGTTTCAGAATAAAACCCAGTTAAAAGATCATAAAGCCCATGAAAAATGGTTGTTGGAAATTTAAAACGAGGGCAAATTCGGAAAATCAAGTCATTTCATTGTTGTGGTGCAATAGTGCCCATGAAATGCCGCAATTGGGGCTGCAATAGCTGCAAAACTATGTTTTGGTGCGTTGCAGCGCGGTCAGTAGCGGTCATTGTCCGCTAGCCGCTATCATCGCGGGATTGCACGCAGTTGCAGCGCAACTGATAACCCTGAAAGAAACTACAGTTAAGTATAAGAAACAGAAAAAGAGTTAAAACAAAAAGAGCTCTACAGTCCAGGGACAAATTTTCCTTTAATGGTGCATTCTGCTCCAGCAGAACAATGCACCAAAGAAGGCATTACTCATTAAGTAAACTGCTCTAATGACAATTTTATACAGTTTAATTTAACTATGTAAACTACAAAGCTTTAGACTTGAAAGAATGATAATTATCAAGCTATCAAAACAAAATACAAGCAAACTAGAGGTAAGTTCTTTGGTTTAGCACCAGCAACATGATTATACTAAGAAATTTGTATTCCTTTACCAAAAAAGTTGTCAGTAGCCAGTAGGTAGCATTCTCCTCAAGGCATCATTGGTTAACACTTTAACAATGCTTCTCAAACCCACACACACAGTAACAAAACCACTTCTCCATCACTACATCCAATGCAAAACATAGAAAATGCAGGTAGAGGAATCACATCATACCTATAGTTTTTAGTGTCATTTTGCAGCACTTTGATAGCTTCGATGACAATCAACCCAGCAATGACAGCATTTGTTGTCGCAACAGCATGCACAATATTACCAGCAATACCTTTAGCTTCAAAAAGGCTGTGCAGAGGAATGCCAAATGAAGCAGCCCGTATGTTTGCAGCACCAGTAACAAATTCTACAGCCAACTGGTCATCTTTATCAAAGCTCAGGTTGCCAATCACCTGCACAAAATTACATTTCAATATCAACATCAACTAGTTGGGATTGCTCAAAATAACATTTAAAAAAAGGCACAAAGAAAAAGGTTCATGGCTAAGCATCCAGATGAAGATAAAAAAATTATCACAATATGCTCACTACATCTAAGTGTCAGATCGGACCTTTTCCCTTTTCATGAAAAATAGTCTAAGTGCTTCAAGAAATATTCTAGAATTTTCTCTAAGACTCCAGATATCCTGTGGGTTCTTCATGCCCAAAGATGCCATGGCCGAAACAGATAATTCATCATCTGATGCATAACTTTTGTCCAAATTTCCATTCTGTTGAGCCAATTCGTCAGATAGTACATCCTTGCTGTATATAGGTTTTGGTCTATTACGATTTTTCCATGTCTCTTCATTAGACAAAGCTAATTCAATGTTATACCCAAATACATGGTCAAATATTTTCCTTCCATATTGATCAATGTCTTCATCTTGCCTACGTTCAAATACATCAGCTACATTTTCTGATGAGCTAGCAGCATCACTTGATCGAACATTTAAATCATTTTCCTGATTCTTGTCACCAAATAACTTAGCAAAAAGTAGGTCCTTAGCCCACACAATACAGTGAACGAACTGGAAAGAAAAGAAAAAAAAAAAACTTAGAACACATTAGTCAGAAGTTTGAAGTAAATATCAAAATTCATATTTCTAATTGATGTTCAATTTGACAATGTGACATCCAATAGCTTGAGTAAAACAAACTTATCCAATTGTCTAAATTACTAATAACAGCCTTCAATGTTATGTCAAATGGTATCTACCAAATCGTCATCCATCAAGATACAATAGTGAATTATTAAAGATCACATTCAATGAAAATTAAATTCAAATAATCATGCATAACCTAAACTTTATATGGACTACCCAGTCACATAGCTTCATATTTTCAATGCTCCCTAGATACAACTATTAGATGCCTAGCATAGGAAAATGACTAATCAAAGGAGTATAAGAAGTCAACATAAAATAGAATAACAAGAATTATCAGACTATAAATAATCAACATGTTTGAAGGCCTATTATTCAATACAACTCATTTGAAGAAGTATCCTCATTAGTCTTTTAAATATTTCTAATAATTTTCATTCTGGATGAAAAAACTCCTTCAGTGTATAAATGAAAATGAAAATGAAAATCAATCCATACCTTTGATGGTGTACTTGTGATTGTACAAACAGGATAAGTCTTGGGGGCTGGTTTAGGCTTACACTCATAGCACTCCGTTCTTCCTTTGATATGTACAGTGACCTGTTTTATTTAAAACTATATCATCACAAATATGATTGAAAAGCTACAACTTAGTATATCATAACTATTAACCATACGAACATATATCAAAGTTTAAATCATGTGGAACCAGCAAATATATTGAAAGTTAGTAATAAACAAGTTTCACATACATGTTTGCAAGGAAAGCAGTACACAGCAGAGGGTTAAGAAATTAGCACAAGAAACAGAAAATGAGATCTCAGACCTCAAATGTCACACCAGAACAAACCAAAACTAAATAATATAATTATTTAGAATTAAAAGAATTTAAATCAATTTAATATCAGAGGACAAAGCTAAACATCAGGACAAAGGGGTATTCACTGAAACATTAGAGGATAATCACTGAACAGAAATTAAGAATTTAGCTGATTAATTAGTTTTGGAGCATAGAAGCATGCTACATATAAACTACGATTTTGCATTCCAAATCAGAATATAGCTTATCTAGACATAAGACATATAAAATCAGAGATTAGTCAGTGACGATAACCAAATTTACAGCTAGAGTCATAATGACACGGGAAAATCAGTAATTAAGTCAACAAAGATGTTCTTAAGCATATAAAAATAACCATCAAACAGAAAAAAACACCATTGGAATTCACTTAATACTGCTAAAACACAAAATCTGACTGAAAATTGATAACACTTATCAAGAAACCAATAAATACAATTAAATTACCTGTCCAAGGAACCCAGTAGTTCCACTTTCGACCAAAGGTACATTAGCTGCCAAGCACAAGCGATTCACATGTCTGCGTGCATCTAGATTGTCAAGTCCATTTAGAACAACGTTATATTGCTTAAAGAAGTCCACATTGAATTCAGGATCTTTGACATTTGCATGGTATGGTGTAATGTTTATGTGGGGCCTGAATTTTAACACAGCATCCCTAGCAACCTGGATGAAGACTTCATCAGATGAATATACAACTGAAACTTATACCACAATCAATGATAACCATAGCAGATTAACCTACTTGGGCCTTGGATTGCCCAACATGGGATTGTCGAAATAAAAATTGTCTGTTCAGGTTACTGACTTCTATGGTGTCCATGTCGATCTGCATATAGGAAATAAAATAAGTAAACTAATGTGTTAAAGCACATTCATAGCTTAAAACAATCCATCTAGATGAAGACATAATGTACAAAACGGCATCTTGTAATCAACTGCCTCCAACAACTCCTCACACACGGAAGAAGAGTTAATTCAGCTACATCTACCATTCATAGTGGGTTGACAGATTACTGACAGTATGACTACAACACACAATCACAATGCACAAGCCCTGAATAGAGATAGGAACTCAAAAATTTGTAGAAAGAGGCACAACATTCAACAAAATTAGGATGCAACAATTCTGGAAAGAATTTTTGCTATGACAACAAGTGAGGATACAGAGAAGTACAACACGATGAATATAATTGAGATAGTTTTAAACCCATTTTCCCCCTTCAAACAACTCTTCAGCTCCCTAAACTACAAATAAAAGACTAGATCCACAGAAAATAATTACAAAACCAAATGATGTGATTAAGTTTGGCGATGCTTAATGATACATTAATTCTAACAGGCAATATATATATATATATGGGTTAATCGGATGTCAAGTCACTTGACATAAGGATTTGTCCAGTCAGGAAATCATAATCATACAAAGGTGGATCAATGATGATAAAGGAAGAGAGAGAAATATAATATCCATTTCCGATCAATTAAATAAGGAAAATAAATATCCAAAACGACGTAGTTTTGGATGACAGGACGGTCAAGTGACATGACAAATAATTAATCCGTATATGCATATATATATATATATATATATATATATATATATATAAACATATAGTTAAACAATATATGACAGATCCTTCTCCAAAACACATATGGCAAGAGGAGGACAAGCCACTCTCAACAGTTCCCTTTAGTAGCAAGAAACTCATTGTGGGTACGACATCCTTCAGCATTCAGCAGATCTGCCATTTCCATCAACCTATCACCCTCAATACTGACTAACGGTCATAAAAAGGTTAATAAACTCATACCACCACCATCCATACCACAAACTAGTCTTAATTAAAATATGATTCTCCAAGATCTAGTTAGTTACAACTATAGTAACTAAAAATAATATCCCCGAATAAATAGCAAGATCCACAGCCTCCACTAACCAATACCCAACCTTCATCACTGCCAAGCCAACATCGACTACCACAAAAGTAAATGAAGCCCACAGACTGTAAACACCAAAACGGCTCCCCCTACTAAGTTCGCCCAGCCATGTGCTCTGTTTTCCAAAATACAGCTCAAATGAAAGCATAAAAGTTGCTCAAGCCTTGCAAAAAAATAAAAAAAACCACCAACCAAGCCCCAACACTTGAAAATTCTTCCTCCTTTAGGCAAACATTGGAGATTCAAAGCATACCTCAGAAACCACCAACCAGATCAAAAGGGTAAGGAATCAAGCTACCAATTCAACCAAAAAAATAAATAAATAAGTTTCAATAACATATTCAAGCACTAAACTTAAAAGCTCAAAACAGTTCAATCTTAAATCCGCACACAAGCAACACTCACTCCTGACTCTCACAAACACTTCTCTCACACAACAAACAAACAATTCACTAAACAACACCAAAAAATAAAAGAAAGTGCAACAAAACAAGTCGCAAAATTTTTTAAACACCCAACAAAAAGCTCGAAACTATAACAAAAACCCCAAGTACACAAAACCCTAACAAAATAACCGAAAATTTAAATTAACAAAAAAAATAAAAAATAAAAATAAACCCTCGGGGTTTTGAGGGCACAAAAAAAAAAAAAGGAAACTAACGATGTGTATGTCAGGGAAACCAGAGAGAGCGAGAGTCTTGAGAAGCTCGCAGCCAATTCCACCAGCGCCAACCATGAGCACTTTTGCTCCCTGAAAAAGCGAAAGAGCAAAACGACATCGGGGGGCTTAAAAACGACGCGGGAGCGCAATTGAAGAAGAAGAGCAAAACGGGGGGTCGTCGTTAGTCGTTACCTTAATAACCGCACAATAAGACGAAGAAGAAGAAGAAGAAGCCATTGGAAGTGTTAAGTGAAAGTGGCGTTCGTGTGTGGGTAAAGGGAGACGCAACAGCAGAGGCAGAATCGTTGAAAAATCATGAGAGAGAAGAAAAACGAAGAAAAAGAAAGAGAGAGAACGGTTGTTGCGCTGTTTTTAAATAAATAAATACAAAAAAAGGGGGCTGCGGAGAATCGAACCGTTGACGTACTAGTGTAGTGAAGTGTGAGAATCTATAGCGTCGTCAAAGGAAAAAGCGCCGAAACAGAGAACCAAAACCCAAAATGACGCCAAAGAATATAAATATGAAGTGACATGGAAAAGAGGGAAATTAGGGAAAGTAGACCCTTTAATTGGTTAGAAATATTTATGAAAAACCCTTATTAATTATTCGATATTTATTATGTTTACTGAATATTTATTGGGTGATTAATACAAATACGACTCAAACCTGTTAATCTAGGTTTACTTGCTATGAAAACACTTTATTCACAGAATGCCTTTTATGTTATTATTATAGTTTCGAGTGCAATTATTAATGTATTGTAGTAAGATTTTAAGTAAAATATTTGTTTAGTCAAAACTAATGTTCAAAAAATAAATTCGCTTTTATACATTAAATTTAAGTGTTCATTCTAAAAAAGTGACAGGTCTGTTGGGTTGTGGTCTGTTTTTTTTAAAATTATTTTGTAAAATAATTAATGAAATAGGTATATTTTATATATATTTGTCTAAAGTTAAAAGTCAAAATACAAAATAAATACAATTCAGATATATTTTTTAAATTTGATTCTAATGAAATTATAATTTTTAAATTTTCTTTTACAAAACAAACCTTGTCAAACAGAATTTTTTTATTTTGAAATTTAAAAAATTATTTTTCGATACAAATTTCAAACAGATCCATAATTTCAGCATTTTTTTTTTGTAACTAAATGTATTTTTATTTTTTTTCACATATGTCCTTGCTTAATTTTTATTTTTATTCTCCTTGTAGCCATTTTGTCCTCTCTTTTATTAAACATAAAATATACTTTTAAGCTAAAATTAAAAAAAAAAACTAAAGGTTTTTAGTTATTATTTTAGTTTTAAAATTACTTTTGGGGAATAAGTTGAAATCAAAGGGGTTGGTGATACAGTGTTGCTCTTCTCTCTTTGCTCCTAAAATATTTCTTAGGTCTCACATATTATTTAATTTTGATAATAACAATTAATAAATAAGACCAAGTCATTTAATAATTTCTTCAGTTTTTAAGATAGTTACAAAATTTAATATGTGATCTGTAATATCTTTTACAACCGACTAGCATAGAGGATATCACATCAATTCTTAAGTGAAATTCTAACCCAACAGATATCAAATAATGACATGACAAAATACCCTTAAAATTTAATTATACGGAAGTCAAGTTTACTATTACATCATAAATACATCATAATCTAAACTGAAAAGAAATATTTTTCTTTTATATTAATTGCCTACCAAACTCTGTATAGTCTTCAAAGTCTTTAATCATAGTGTTTTATCCTACTCCAAAGCTACGCATACTCGATTGTTTACTCTGGAAAGGTTAGCATAAAAATAAACACACGTGAGATAAATCTCAGTAATATTGGAGTTTTTGAACTATAACCAATCCAGTCACTTTAGTGAAAAATATCATTTTCACATAATAAATTTATAATAAGAAAATAATATCATAAACCATAAATATAAGCTCAGACCTTTGTGAGTTCTTCATTTAGTCATACCCAAATCTCTGTGGGTTCTACCCAAACTTTATGGGTTCTAGATACAAACATATATAAGAACATGTAATTTTTAACTGAAATGACAAATGATCAATTCTGGAGCGTCCAAACTCTGTGGGTTCTATATGTGAAAGATTATGTATGGCGGAGCTCAAGCCATGATAAGGCGTCCCTTATCCTATAATCATTCTGATCCCCTTGTGGGTCAGTAACATCAGAATCATTCAGCAAAAGATTACATATTTCATAGTATTCATTTGGTATCAAAGAAATTCTTTAATTTCTATAAACTTGATTCAAGATCATTCTCATATCTAATATAAGTAAATTCATCAAATTCACAAAGCCAAATATAGAAAATAAAGTAAAGGAGTAGAAAGAATTCATAAAATAATTTTGGCAGAGTAACGACATCTTCACAACTTTTAAAGAAATAACTTTAAAATACCAACTTTCAATATAACATAAAAATAGAACCAACATAACTTTTTAAAATATCTAAAAATCAATTTTAAAAATAAAGAAGAGAATGAATTGCTTACTCTCAATATTACCTTCCCTTTTCTTTTTTCTTCTTTTTCCTCCTTCTTTCTTTCTCTTTCACTTTCTTTCCTCCTTTATCTCTTTCTCTTTCTTTCCTTCTCTTTCTCTCTCTCTCTCTTCTTCCTCTCTACGCAACTTGGGGGGGGGGGGGGGGGGCTATATATTATCAAAAAGAATGTAATCATTACTTTTTATAAAAATCTAAAAAATATAATCATTACCTTTATAAATATCCAAGATATTTTATCTAAATATCTAAGATATTTTGTATTTTAATTATTATTATTATATATTTTAAAATATTACATTTATCCTCTCCTAATTAAAATTTTGCCCCAAAATTTAGACATACCTCATAAGAGAAATTTCGGGAAACTCTATCATAATTCTTCTTCTTTTTCTCATGTAGCCTCTTGTGGTGAAAGTACTTCCCAACGCACTTTAATTAACGGAATCATCCTATTTCTCAGTTGTTTTAGACTTTTATCTATGATTTGAGCAAGTCTAGTCTTAATAGTCAGATTCTCTTTAACTTGTACTGAATCTATATCAAGAATGTGAGAGAGATATGAGACATACTTTATAAGCTGAGAAACATGAAAAACACTGTGGATATTGGAAAGATGAGGTGGAAGAGAAAGTTGATAAGCAACTGGCCCTATTTTTCGAAGTATTTGAAACGGATCAATATACCTAGGACTCAATTTCCTAACTTTGAGAGTTCTTCCTACACCTGTGGTAGGAGAAAGTTTAAGAAAGACATGTTCTCCATCTTCAAAAGACAAAGGTTTTCTCCTGTTATCAGCATAATTTTTCTGTCTGTTTTGTGCTTTTTCAAGGTTTTCCTTTATCATCTGAATTTGTCTCGAGGTTTCTTGGACTAATTCCAGTCCCAATAATTGTTTTCCCCCTTTTTCATACCAACACACTGGAGATCTACACTTTCTTCCATAAAGTGTCTCATATGGAGCCATTCCAATTCTATAGTGGTAACTATTATTATAAGCAAACTCTATTAATGGCAGGTATCTACCCCAACTACCTCCTTGTTCAAAGATGCAAGCTCTCAGCATATCCTATAAAGTTTGAATGGTTCTCTTAGTTTGAAGATGATATGTTGTACTAAGTCTCAACTTAGTTCCAAAGGCTTGCTGTAAACATCCCCAAAATCTAGAAGTAAATCTAAGGTCTCTATCTGACACAATACTTAGAGGTACCCCATAAAGCTTGACGATTTCTTTCATATAGTTGGGCTAACCTCTCAATAGAATATTGAGCCCTAATTGGTAGAAAATGAGCAGATTTGGTTAATCGATCAATGATTACCCAAATTGCATCATATCCCTCTTGGATTTTTAGTAAACCCATCACAAAATCAGTGGCTACATTTTCTCACTTCCATTTTGGTATATCTAATGATTGAAGTAATCTTGAAGGATTTTGGTGTTCAATTTTCACTTTTTGACAAACTAAGCACTTTGAAACATACTCAGCAATATCCTTTTTCATTCCTGACCACCAAAATATCTTTTTCAAATCTTGATACATTTTAGTGAAAACCAGGGTGAACTGTGAACTTACTGCTATGCGCCTCATTCAAAACTTCTTTCATCAATTCTTCCTTCTTAGGTACAATAATCCTTCCTTGAAATTTTACCAAACCATCTTCCCCTTTGGTAAATCCTTCTTGTTTCAAAGATTTTTCTAAATCAGAATCTTCCTGCTGAGCTTTTCTAATTTTATCTATCAGCTCATTATCTATTTTTATTTCACTAATACCTAAACTTCGAGGCAATACAGTCACAGATAATTTCATATCTCTAAATTTTTCCAACAATTTCATTTCTTTGATCATTAAATGTGACATGTGAAGAGATTTTCTGCTTAAAGCATCAGCTACCACATTAGCTTTTCCTGGATGGTATTTAAGCTCAAAATCATAGTCTTTCAAAAATTCCTTCATGGATCTCTGCCAATGCATACTCAACCTCTTCCGAGTTCAAACATTTAAATATTGGAGAATGTAAGCCTTTTCTATATAATTGATCTTTTATCACTGTATACATAACTGCATCTCGAATCAATTTCTTGGCCTTGGCTGAATCTTCTGATAATATTCCTCTTTCCAAGTATACAATGATTGACCGCCTCCAATCTACTGACAACATAATTACCATCACACAACTCGGCTCAGCTATACTTTGTTGAACCACGATCCTATGATTACCCGGGCTCTGTTATTCTCAGCTCGAGAAATAGGAGTGATTATAACGTCATCGAACTCAAATATAATCTCTTTCACTATATTCAAATATTTCATCAACAGAGGCCCTTTATCTTGGTATCTTACTTCAATTTATGAAGTGACAAGTTGTGAATAACTTAAGACTTTTATTTTCTTTGCTCCATGTTCCTTTGCTTGCATTAATCTGGTTATCAAGGCTTCATATTCTCCTTGATTATTTGATGTTGGAAAGTTCAAGTGTAAGGAGTGTTCCATTGAAACCCCTTCTAGGCTTTCCACAATGATTTCAGCTCCACTCTTTTTAGTATTTGATGATCCATCAACATAAACTTTCCATATATCACCACTTCCTCCATTAGATGGAGTGAGTTCCATTATGAAGTCGGCTAACACTTGAGATTTGATGGCATGCCAAGCTTCATAAGTAATATCAAATTCAGAGAGTTCAATTGCACAGTTAGTCATCCGCCCAGCCAAATTCGACTTATGTAACACTTGCCAAATTGGTTGATTAGTTCTGACAACTATCTGATGCCCTTGAAAGTATGGACGAAGTCTCCTTGTA